GATGAGGTGGATTGATAAAGAATCTGGGGCAATGGGGGTTGGTATGTTGGAATTAGTGAGACTGTCTCAGGACAGGAAGGGTTCAGAGCTGTGTACATAGGTTTGCTATATAGAGGTCGCAGGCAACTCAATGGCACATAACAACAACAACATTATTATTTTGGCTGTTTTTTATTTAAGCCTCTTGTTTAGAGTCAACAAGACCTCGGGGAGGGCCTCTGTATTTAAAAGTAGGTTGTTACTATATTTTGGAGGAACATTCTTAGTTGTACAGCACTTTTCTGTCAATATACTGTACTGAGGTAACCTGGGGTTGCTGTGATGCTGAACCTTGTGCCATTAGGGTGTCAAATGACAAATGATTATCCATGGGGGACAGTGTTTAGTAGCGCTCCCAGTTTAAGACAGGTTTGGAAGCAGGAGTGGCATCCACTTCCTAAACAACATGCCTCTGGAAAATCTATGAACTTTGATAATGTCAATAGTTATAGAGGGGTTTCAGGTCTTTTGTTCATAGGGTCGCTATGAGTCGTGCTCAACTCAACAGCAATCAACAACAACAATATGTATATGCATGTATGTATACACACACACGTTTTTGGTGGTAAGAGTATGTAGTTGTTGAGTATCATTGAGTTGGAACTGGCCCATAGCTGGCCCTCCAGGGGGTTTTCAGAGGCAGTAAATTACACAGGAAGAGACTGTCCAGCTTTCTGCTGCACAGCAGCTGGTAAATTTGAACCAAGTACCTTCATGGGCTAATTGGCAGCATCAGGATAGATGGTGAAGAGATTGAGATTGTTAACAGCTTTAGTTTGCTTGGCTCCACAATCAATATTCTTGGTACCAGCAGTGAGGAAATGAAAAGATGAACTGCATTGGGAAAGTCTGCTGTTAGAGACCTCTCCAAAGTACTGAAGAGAAACAATGTCAGTCTGGAGACTAAGGTGTGCCTGATGAGGCCACAGTCTTTGCAATTACTTGCTATGCATCAGAAACATGGACAATGACTAGGGATGATAGAAGGATACTTGATGCCTTTGAGTTGCAGTGCTGGAGAAGAGTATTGAAAATATCATGCACTGCTAAAAGAATGAACAGGCTTGTCCTGGAGAGGGTGAAGGAAGGCTGCTCCTTGGAAGCAAGGATTCTGACACTTTGACATACTTTGGACATGTTTTAAGGTGGGACCAATCCTTGGAGAGGGACGTCATGCTTGGGAGGATGGAGGGACAGTGTAAGAGATGAAGATCCTTGATGAGGTGGATTGATTTAGAGACAGGAGTGGGGGTAGGTGTGTTGGAGACAGTGAGACTGACACAGGATAAAGCAGGTTGTTGTACATAGGATCACTATGAGTCGCAGGAGACTCAAAGGCACATAACAACAACAACCACCACCTTCACATTGGTAGTACAATTCCTTACCACTAAGACACCGTGAATTTATAAAATCCAAAACAAATCTCCCCCCAAAAGGACTACAGTCTGCAATGTGTAGTGCTGTTAACTCAAACCAAACCCATCATCACCAGTCAATTCTGACTCCGAGTGACCGTCCCTTGATTTTCTCAGGCTGCCATCTTCACTGAAGGAAACTGTGCCATCCTTCTCCCAAGGGGTGGATGGTGGATGCAGACCTCTAACTTCTCAGTCAGCCCCGCACATAAATGCACTCTGCTATCAGGGATTCTCTAGGAACGTAAACATGTAACAAGAGGCCCACAGGTGGCGGTGAGGAAGGGTAAACTTCATTTGTCCCATCTATACTATCCTGAAGGATGCATGCCCTGTAGAGCAGTGTGTGAAACTTTGAGCCATCTTCACAAAGCAGATCAATGGTGTGCCTGATGTTACACAGAGGTTACCATTGTGCTAAAAAAATAAATTATTCAACATAGAAAGTTATGGTTTTAAATGCATTTATCATTTTTATTCCACTATGCAGAACATACATTCACCATGGGTTGTGATGCAGTTGACAGTGTAACGGACAATATATCTTTCTGAAGGCTATTTATAACTAAACACTTAATAGTTTAATTACAGTGGAAATTCTGTACAGTTTAAGGCTTGGCTCTGAACTAGATTGTAAATATGGACCAGATTTGGAAAGAAAACATCTTTTTTTTCCAAGTAAAAGAAAAAAGTAATTTAAAAAAATCAAGGAAAGAGGAAATGAAAAAAAGAACACAATTCAATAAAAGCCCAACAGGGTTTGGAGGTGGGTTTTTTGGTTTTTTTTTTTGAGTAAAATTTCTTAATATTGAAAACTAAAAACAAACAAACAAACAAACAAACAAAAAAAAACAAAAACGACAGGTTTTCTTCCCAAAATAATGACAATTTACATAGCAGGATTTGTTAGGGGACTCTGGGGAGCTTTCCAGATTGGATGAAGACCAAAGCAGATGACAAGGAAGAAATCACATTAATATGCTGAAATCAGTACTATCTGTATAATGAATTAAATTAGATCCAAAAAGCAAGATTGTAAGCATTAAATATTTCCACAGGATCAGAGAGTTGTTATTGTTTATGGGTAAGAATAATAAAACCAGGTGAAACAAGTACAAGATTCAAGTTGTTTACTGAATAACTCGGTTATTGGCACATCTAATCAGTGATAAACATGACACGCCAGATCTATACGGCTTCTAGCATTTTAAAGCAATCGTGATTTTTCTGTAAACAAAGAATCTGTCATCTAAGAAAATGCAGTATTCTTTAGACTTTAATAATAATAAACTATGAAAGGTATGGGTTGTTTACTTGTTATGTAAATCACTGTTTATATTGTCGGCTATGGACGTGCAGGTATAGCAGAAAACTTAGACGTTCTGTGAAAAAAAGGCAGCTCTTTTGTAATTGTATTGTTGCTTCATGCAATATCAGTTTAGTGAGGTGGATTCGAACTGTTTTATTATGGGAAGATCGCTCTGCCAGTGTCTTTATTAATGATCTCGGTCAATTCTTCGGGATTGAAATTTTCCATGGACAGATACAAGTCAGTTGGGTTAGAAGGAGGGAACTCCGTATAGGCTCTGGTTTTCCTAACGATTTGCATGAGAGGATTCATGTGGAAGCTAAGTTATTCCTGCAGAAAAGAGATTTGACAAATTACTCATTTGAAAACACCCAAGTTCTCAGATCAGAAAAAACTATCACTTGCAGATTATGAAATACCTTACACATAACATCAATCAGGTCACTGCTGATGACAGGCTTTCTCTTAAATACTTACTTCACCATCACCTAAGTGGATAAGGCTCACTCAAGAAAACATTTTTTTCTTTCAATTTTTCCAAAATATACTAGTAATTTGAAGATAACAAGTGACTTTTATTTTTTGTTTTTCTTTAAGAGATGCCATTCATCAATTCTTGTTTCTTAAGTCAGAGTTAGAGAACTTACTTGTATTTCATTTACACATGTAAAGTGAGTAAGGATCTTTGATCACATAACCAAGCTCAGCTGCTACATTCAGCATTCCAGGCAGGATGCTCCTGGCCCCAGAAGCTCCGGCAGGAGGGTTAGTATGTGAGCAGGCAAGCTTGTGCACAGACAGCACCAGGCCTGCTCACAGGGAAGGCATGCGCTTTCTGGAGGAAGGCAGGGACACACAATTACATTTCTGCTTCCTCCTGAGGAGACATGTGCTACAGTGGGTGAACGCATCCCAATACACACAGGAAATAAACTGTCTCAAAAGAAATGACTGCTCAGGTTTCAAATTAACAACAAACAAACAAAACCACCAAAGCATAAACCGGCTATTGCCAAACAAAAGTTGCAGAGAAAGCTTATAACAAAATAATGCTGCCATCAAAAGGAGAAAGGGGTTGCTTTTACTTATTTGCCTAGAAGACAGAACACACAAGTTGCACCTCTCGGACAAAGCCGGCTAAGCTCTGATTAGGTGACATGGAGAGTGGGAATCAAGTCTGACATTTCAGGTTTGGGGAATGAAAGCAAGCAGGTCCTTCCTTTATTCTCTAACTGGCAGTATCTGCAAAATGTCCTTGAGTAGGTGAACTCTGAATGGGAAGAAAACCAGCACCCCCAAGCCAACACCCAATTCTCCTGTTAGCTGGCCCTACAAACGCCAGTAAGAGAAAAAGGAAAGCAGACGAGTCAGGCAAAGGGGAAGGGAGGCTGCCCATGCTGCATGCCAGGCTTGGCCACACCCAGGACTCAGCATCACCCTTACCTGCGGTCAATCCTCTCCATCTTCAGGCGTGATCTCGATCTCTTTATGGACCACTACTTTGGTCACTGACATGTCAGGGTGCTGCTCTTTGGCCTCTTTAATTGCCTGAGCCAGCGCCTATCCCCAGGAAATCACAGAAGGGCAAAAACAAAAAGGAGGTGGTACATGCATGATCAGTAGCAAGGTGGAGACACATGAGCTAGATCTATATCCACAGTTTACAATGAGGTACAATGATTACACCAGGAGTCAAGAGATGATATTCTGAAAGTTAATTCTGAAGGGTTTTGTTTTTTGGGTTTTTTTAGAATGCATGCTGGGCTGGAGGAGTGTAGATAACAGTAAGAACTCCTGTCAGGGTTTCACCATTTCACACACACACACACACATTACCTGGTCATGGTCAATGTCTGCATCTCCTGTGATGACGATTCGCTTCTCAATTCTTGTCTCTGATATGCCTCCCTTTGCAGTCTGAAAAGAACAAAGACAAGCTTTATAAGTTTCCTCCCTTAGAAGCTTGGCATTGCTTTTTGGAGGGAAAGGCTGAAAAATGTTCTTTTTCTCCTTTAGGTATTATCACTCAATCTTCCACAACTGAAATCATTGCTGAACATTGGTAAAGACAGAAGTTAGGATTAGGCTGAAGTCCTTTTTGTGTGTTTGTGTGTGTCTGCTTGTTTGTTTGAGCAACTTGGATTTCTGGAACACAGATAAGTCTGCCATACACTGGAATGTGTCAGGCCATCATGTCAGCACATGAGGACAAATGCAGTATCAATCTTGCCGTTGTCTTTAGATGCCACTGAGTCAACTATGACCCATAATGACCCTACGAACAACAGATCTGAACCCCTGTCCCATCCTTACACTTCCACACACTAGAGCCCACTGCAGCTGTCGCTGTGTCAATCCATCTGGTTGAGGGCCTTCCTCTTTTTTGATGACTCTGTACCTTTCCAAGCATGGTGGATTCTCTCCAAGAAAGTGCCTCTACCAGAAACACGCTGGGGATATGTGAGAAGTTTTAGCATCTTCATCCCCAAGGAACACTCTGGTTGTGCTTTCTCCAAGACATGCCTGTTTGTTCTTTTGGCAGTCCATGAACTATTTATTACTCTTCTCCAACATCACAGCTCAAAGGTATCAATTCTCTTATTCTTTATTCATTATCCAGCTCTCAGATGTATAGCAAGTAATTGGAAAGACCATAGCCTGAATCAGATACACCTTAGTACTCAAACTGACATCATTGCTCCTCAAGAATCTGGAACAGGTCCCTGACAGCAGATTTTCTCAGTACAATACATCTCCTGATTACCTGACTGCTAGTACCAAGGTGTGGATCTGAGTAAGATGAAAGCACTGACAACTTCAATATTTTCTCTATCATGATGTTGCCTATTAGGCCAGTGGCAAAGATTTTTGTTTTCTTGACAGGGAGAGGTAATCCATATTGAAGACTGCAGTATTTAGCCTTCAGCAGCAAATGCTTCAAGTCCTCCTCACTTTCAGCAAGCAAAGTTGTGTCATTCGCACAATAATGGTTGTTGATAAATCTTCCTCTAATCTTGATGCCACACATTAAGTCCATTTTCTCAAATCAATTACTCAGCATTCAGAATGAATAGGTATGGCAAGAGGATACAGCCCTGACATACTCTTCTTAAATGTAAACCATTTAGTGTCTCCTTGCTCTTTCTCATAATGGCTCCTTGGTGGTTTTGCATGAGCACAATTAAGTGCTCTGAGATTTCCATTCTTCTCAATATTAGTGCTTTGCACAGTCAATAAAGAACAAATAGACATTCTTCTGGTATTCTTCACTTTCAGCCAGGATTCATCTGACATCAGTAATGGTATCTATCTCTGGTGCCATGGCCTCTTCTAAATTCTGCCTGAACTTCTGGAAGTTCCCTATCTATGTACTATTCTAGCCATTTTGAATGATCCACAGCAATAGTAATTTGCTTGCATGTGATATTAATGATATTGTTTGACAGTTTCCACATTCTGGTGGGTCACCTTTCTTGGGAATGGGAACAAATATGGACCTCTTCCAGCCAGTCATTCAGACAACTATGCTACAAATTTCCTTGCAAAGACTGGTGAGTACATTGCTGAAACATGCCAACTGGTATCCCACCAATTCCTGGGGCTTTATTTGATGCCTTCAATGCAGCTTCAACTTCTTCCTTCATCACCATTGGCTCTTGTTCATATGATACTTCTTAAAATTTCTTAGTGTCAGTCAATTCTTTTTGGTACAATGACTCCATGTATTCCCTTCACCTTCTTTTGATGCTCCCTGGATCATTCAACATATTGCATCTCGTGGCTTAAATTTGACTTTCAGTTCTCCTAACCGAAAAATGCAGAGTTCTTTCTTTTTTATTCTCCATTTCCAGTTCTCTGAACATTCCTGGATAATACTTTGCTTTGTTTTCTTGAGCTGTTCTTCTAGTGAAATTTTCAGAGTCTCTTCTTGTGTCAATTTTGTTTTTTCTTTCTCCTCTGTCTTGGTAATTACCTTTTGCTCTCTTCATGGAGGATATCCTTGATGTCATCCCATAACTCTTCGATAACTACTCCAAACTTATTTTTAAGATGAATTTCAAATTCAGGTAGAATAAACTCAAGATCATATTTTGCCTCTCATGATCATGTTTTCATTTTCTTTGGCCTCAATCTGAACTTGCACATGAACAATTGATGGTCTGTTCCACCAGTCTACACCTGGCCTAGGTTTTTGTTCCCCCATTTTTTTTAAATGTGATTTTTTAATGAAAGTTTACCGAAAAGTTGGATTTTCATTCATTCACTGTTGCATAATTTCCTCCCTTCCACTCAGCTCCTGCTCCTCCAGTCCACTTTGCAATACAGCTTTTTATTCTGGACTATTGTCATACATATAATCCCTATTTATGTATTCCTTTTAAACAGTTCTTTTCTTCATTTGTTTCAATGTTCATTATCTATCCACACTTTTCTTTGTTTCTTCCAGTCACGTATGTCAGTCTTGCTTTAAAATAGTGATGTATTCCAATATTTGTCCTTTTCTAAATGAGATATTTCACTCAGGATAAGGTCCTCCAGGGTCACCCATGATATGTAATATTTTATGAATTGTTTTTTTTCAGTGCTGCATAGTATTCCATTGTGTGACAACTATACCATAGTTTTTCTATCGATTCATTTGTTGATGGGTATTTGGGTTGCTTCCATCTCTTTGCTATTGTGAACAATGCAGCAATAAACACAGGTATCCATACTTCTGTTTTGAGTTACCATTCAGATTTATTTAGGGTTGTTGTTGTTGCTGTTGTTATGTGCCGTCGAGTCGTTTCCGACTCATAGAAACCCTATGCACAACAGCTCTAAACCCTGCTCTATCCTGCGCCAACCACACCGCCTCTGACACATCCATCCCGATTACCCCAGTCACCGAATCAATCCATCTCATAGAGGGTCTTCCCCTCCTGCGCTGTCCCTCCACCCTCCCAAGCATGATGTCCCTCTCCAA